CCCCAAAACCCCAAAACCCCAAAACCCCAAAACCCCGGAGAAATTTAGACATTTATATAATTATGGCGCTTTGCGACCAAGACTATACTATTGTAGATTCTCTACAAAAGATGAGAGAGACAGTACTGAACACCCTTGAAAATGCTACCGTTGATAGCATAGTCTGATACCAGGTAGAGTGTACAATAAGGGAATTTGAAGTTCAGATTTTGGAAACTTTTAAAAGTCTCTTTGAAACTAATGCGGAAAAATCCTCGCTCGAAGCAAGCAGCATGCTCCAAAAGAGCCAAAGGAATCCAGGACTCCTACAGGCTTCTATGGAAGCCCTCAAGAAAGTCAAGATGCTTGAAAATATGGAAATGATGTTGAAAATTAAACGAAATAATCAAAGTGACTGAAATCCAGAGGTTGTCGATTCAGCACTTTCAAAAATCAAACTTCAAAAACAAAAAGTAAGCGAGGTCCTCTTAGTTATTTTAGATCTATGATGATCTCATCACAATTCATGATGAAGAGACTCACCACGGGTTTGAAACCTCAAGGTTTGACAGTAGCCAAAAGTTTGAACTCCCTGAGGAGAGATCAGTCCAGCTCCAGTTCACAGCTGATAAGGTTGAAAACCAAGATGAGGACAACCTCTACTCTGATGAGAAAGGAAACCTGTGTAACAGCTTCATGGCAAATGCTATGAATGCCTTCCAGAACCCACTTATCAAACCTGAAATAGAGATGACTCCTCACGGAAAAATAATTGAGCACAATGAGAACGACTTTACTGAAGAAGACAAAGAAAGTCCTCCTAAAGAGAAAGATCTATCCCCAGTTGGGAAGTTTGATCTATCAAACCAAAAGTACACACCTATCGATGAAGATTCTAGTGAGGAGAATACTGAGCCAAGGAAGTTCCCTGAGTTTTTGACTCAAGAAAATCAGGGGCCCAATACACCATATAAAAGTTCAGATAGTGAAGAGGATGAGGTTTGCACCCCTGATGCCTCTTCCTTCTCAGTGAAGGTGTCTAATGCATCTAGTAAGAAATCGCAAGGAAAATTTAAAAGTAAAGCTTTACAGAATGTATATACATCAGAAAAGAAGAACAAGAAGTCAAAAAAGGTTGATTACTCAGTGTTCGCACAGAAAGGCAGAGCTCAGAAAATGCCTGTAAGAAGGAAACAAGAGGTCACTTCTGCAACTAGGAAGCATGAAGTTCTCCCTGTGAAGAAAAAACAGGAAATTCAGCCTCAGCAGAAGAGGCAAGAAGGTAGCTCAGTTCCTAAGGTAAGGCTTTTGAATATCTGTTAAATCTCTATTATATTCACATTTCAGATTAAGAGTTCAAAGCTAGCTTTCGGGATTTAAAATAACTTCTTTTGATAATAAAAGTTGGTAATAAGCCATCTAGTATTCTTATCTCTAAAACATCTTGCTTAATGGCTTATCGAGATTTTAAAATATATCTATAGAAATTCCCAGTAAAGCCAGTTGTTAGACAAACATCGTTTCAAAAACGAAATAAAGAAGCTAAATTACCTCCAAAATCTTCTAAAATTACTAACAAAGCTATTGAGAGACAGATAGAACTAGTCCAGAAGAACCAGAAGGAGTCTTCTCAGCGGGACTTAGAAGATCAGCCAATGTCAGATAATTTCCTAAACATCAACATTGATCATGGCTTCGAGGAAGTTCTTTCTAGTTCTGGGCCTTCTGAGCAATCTCATGAAGAAGAGAAAGTAGAACAATGCCAGTCAGATCTGGTCAATATCCAACTAAACACAGACTTTAATGGCAATAGTACGTTTTTATTGCTTAATAAGTAGACTTAGAGGAGTACGATAAGGAAGAACCCAGCGAAGCAGAACCTTCTGAAAGGTATGCACTTATAGCTCATTTGTGTAGAGAACCACCTCAGTTTTACCAACAGCAGGATGAGCACACTGATGATCCTCAGCCAGATGAAGAAGATCATTCCGGGGATCTTAAAGACTGTACTCCTCTAAGTGTGGTTAATGCGTTCTTTAAACAGATGAATAGCCAAGAAATAAAATAGAAAGTTAGCAAAATTTCAATTAATCTTCACTATTTAGGGGTTTTGGGGTTTTGGGGTTTTGGGGTTTTGGGG